TCATCCCTGCTACTGTCTGCTGTGTTGTCAGCACCCCCCCAGCCATTCCCCACTACTTGTCCATCCAGTGAACCTAGTCAGCCTATCTAGGGGGTCTTTGTTTTAGGAAGGTCAGCTGTTCTTCATCTAGCAGCAATCCGTTGACAGTATTCCTTTAGATAAGATTGAGGTCTGCTGTTCATTTTCCCAGTTCTATGCTGGGTTACTATCTGGGAGTCCCTTGGGCCACCCTGGCCAATAACTCAAAAGAAGGTATCTCCTATCTGGCATTGTTGCTTGTTACATAGCCTTTAGCTATACAGTCTTTTTGAGACAGGGTCTCCCTGTAGCCCCAGCTGTCCTGGAACTATGTAGACCAGGCTGGCCTTGAACTCACAGAGATCCGCCTGCTTCTACCTCCCAAGTGCTGGGACTACAGACGTACGCCACCATGCCTGGCTCAAATTTTTTTTAATTTTTAAAATTTATTCATTTTTATTTCATATATTTGAGTGTTTTGCCCGCATGTATCTAAGTGCACCTCTACATGCAGTGCCTCCAGAAGCCAAAAGAGGGCATCAGACCCCCTGGAACTGGAGTTAAGGACAGTTGTAAACTACCATGTGGGTGCTGAGAACTGAACCCAGGTTCTCTGCAAGAGAGTCAGTGCTCTTCACCACTGAGCCATCTCTCCAGCATCCCCCAAATACTTTATTAACTTAAATTTTTTTTAAATTTTGTGTGTCTGAGTGTTTTGTCTGCATGTATCTAAGTACACTTGTGTTGTGTAATACCCATAAAGGCTGGAAGATGGCGTCAGATCTCCTGGAACTGGAGTTAAAGACAGTACCATGTGGGTGCTGAGAATCGAACCTGGGTCCTCTGGAGGACTAGCCAGTGCGCTTAACCTCTGAGCCATCTCTTCAGCCCCCAAATACTTTATGTTTGAGGCAGGGTCTCATTATCTTAGGCTGGCCTGGACTGCAATATGTTGCCAAGGTTGGACCTTTAACTTTTGATAATCCTGCCTCTACCTCTCCAGTGCTGAATTTGTAGTCATGCACCACCATGCCTAGCTCTACTGAGCTTTGTTTTATAAATATGCAAAGCATTTAGAAAGTTCCTAAATAACAGCTGGACAATTAGGTGCATTCATAAGTCTCACTTCAGGCCATTCTCTCTCCCATACAAAGACAACCACTTTCAGAAGCTTGGCATTTACCCTTCTATTGCTATCTTTTAAATATAAGACCAGGCATGGGGGCACACTCCTGTAATCCCCAAACTCAGGAGGCAGAGGCAAGAGGATCAAGAGTTCAAGGTTGGGCTGGTGCACGGCTCAGCAGGTAGAAAGGCACTTGCTGTGCAAGCCTAGTGACCTGAGTTCAATCTCTAGAACCCAGGCAAAGGTGGAAGGAAAGAATCAACTCCAAGAGTTGTCCTCAGCTTCCACACATACACATCATACATACACAGGTACATATATCATCATCATCATTTTTTTATTTGTATTTTATTATTTTTAGTTGATGTGTATGAGTGTATTGCCTGCATGTGAGTAGGTGCACCGGTGTCATGCAATGCCCACGGAAGTCAGAATAGGGTGTCAAATCCCCTGGAACTGGAGTTACAGGTGGTTTAAAGTCACCATGTATGTGCTGGGAATCAAACCCTGGTCCTCTGCAAGAGCAACCAGTGCTCTTATCTCTTCAGCCCCACCATCATCATTTTCAAAAGGGTGCAAGGTCATCCTCAGGCAAGAGCAGTGCATGCTCTTACCTGCTGAGCCATCCCCCCAGCCCCAGCTTTATTATTCTTATTTTTAATGAGAATACAAAATAATGGGTTTTGTTATGCTGTCTTCTTCACACAGGCATATCACATACAAAGTCAGGTTTATTAGGGCTGCTCCTCAGTTTGGTCAATGTTCCTTTTTCCTGACCACACCTGTGAGATTTCACACTGTTATTCATGCTCTCAAACATTTGCCAGCAGTTTGGTACTTTGTATCGTTCCCAAAACAGAGTGGTTGCAGGAGGAGCTGGGCAGTGTTTTTCAGCGGCCACCTCACTGATTTATATGGAGAGAATTTACATAGTTCTGACCATATTACATTGCCAAAAAAAGTTTTAGTGCCTTAGCAAAACAACTTTGGACGTAATCTCTAGTTTATATTATTTCTTTTAGCATGGATCATTAAACACAGGGAAACAAGATTTGAGTACTAGATAAGGAGTGAGCACACTCACCCTGTCTCTGTCACTGAACACAGCTAATGGCTTGGACAGAATGCACTTTGCAGCTATTTGAGGACTCTGCATCATTAGTCACAGCAGACACACTGGGAAAAGCACCAGCACTTAACATATTACCAAACTGGAACAGCCAGTGTTCTTAACTGCTGAGCCATCTCTCTAGCCCCTCAACCTGCTTTCTTATGCAACACAGGCCCACCTGCACAGGGGTGGCAACACCCACAGTGGGCTGGACCCTCCCACATTACTCAGTCAAGAAGATGCCCCACAGACATGGCCATAGGCCAGTCCAACGGAGGCAATTCACAAATTGAGGCTCCCTCCACCCAGGTGTATCAAGTTGACACTAAAGCTATCCAGCACAGAGTTTAAGGCCAGCCTGGGCTACATTAGAACTTGCCTCAAAACAAAAGAACAGTACAGGAATGTACCACATTTCCTATATTGGACTGATAACAAGCCTAAAAATGCTTAAGATATAAGCAATTATGTTTATACTTATCCGTTATTCACACAGAAGATAGCATATTGTGAACTTGGATCTCCCGTTAGCTTCAGCGGTCAACTTGACCCACCCAGTGTTATCTGAAGAGTCTCAATTGGAGGACTATCTCTATCAGATTGGCCTGTGGGCATGGCTCATAGGGTAGCTTCTTGACTGCTAATGGATGTAGGGGGCCCAGCAGACTGTGCCATTCCTGAGCAGATGGGCATCTGCTGTTTAAGGATAGCTGAATTGGTAACTGGGGAATGAGCCAGTAAGCAGCTTTCTTCCATGGTTTCTGTCTCCATGTTCCAGTCCTGATTCCCCTCAGTGATAACTTATGACCTGAAAGTGTAAGTCAAATAAACCCTTTCCTCCCTTAAGCTGTTTTTGTTCAGAGTGGTTTTATAATGGCAGGAAAGCAAACTAGAACAATTTTATGTCCCTTGCTTATTCCACCCAATAATCTACATGGAGAATATACCATATACATATACATTAGAAGGTACAGAAGAAATTTTAAACTGGGTATGCTAGCATATACCTTTAATCCCAGCACTTCAGAGGCTGAGGCAGGATGATGAAAGTTCAAGGCCAGGGCTGGCAAGATGGCTCAGTGGGTAAGGGTACTGACAATCTCAGTGTGATCCTTGGAGCCCACATGGTGGAAGGAGAAAGCCAACTCCCACAGGTTATCCTCTAACCTCTGCACATGCACCAAAAAAAAAAAAAAAGTTGGCATCACCACACCCTTAATCCAGCACTCGGGAGGCAGAGGCAGGCAGATCTCTGTGAGTTCAAGGCTAGCCTGGTCTACATAGTGAGTTCCAGGCTAGCTGGGGCTACAGGGAGACCCTGTCTCAAAAAAGACCAAAAAAAACAGAGCCAGCCATGGGAGCACATACCTTTAATCCTAGCACTGGGGAGGCAGAGGCAGAGCAATCTCTGTGAGTTTGAGGTTAGCCTGGTTTACATAGCAAGTTCCAGGCCAGCCAGGGCTACATAATGAGACTCTATCTCAGAAAAAAAAAAGTTAAGTAAGTTAAAGACCAGCCTGAGCTATATAGCAAGATACCATCTTAAAACATAAGACACACACACACACACCATCATTTCCATTTTAATGACTGCACATTACTACATCCTGTGTATTTACTATTAGTCAACCAGTTCTCTATTAGATATGTAAATTTCCAATCTTTTACTATTCATTAATGTCATAAAGAACCATTTGAACACAGAATTTCTCTATTTTTGCCTAAATATCACTATAAATCTACAGTTTGATTCAGAGTTATTGGATGGATGGGTAAATTTGTATGTAATAAGGCTGTTATCTTGCCAAGTCCTCTATTTTTTTTTTTAAGTCTTTTTGAGACAGGGTCCTGTAGCTCCAGTTAGCCTGGAACTATGTAGACTATGGCTCCACATTCCTATTTACCTGCCTCTTACGACAACTAAATTTCCACTTCACCTCAAAACACCATTTCGGCTTTGAGGCAGCAGCCTGATATTGACACTTACAGACTAGCCTTAGTCTCAGAGATCTGCCTGCTTCTTCCTCTGGAGTGCTGAGATTAATGGGGTGGGCCACCAGCTGCCAAATCCTCTTCTTAAGTAGTTTTGCCTCCCTTCCAGCACTGTAAGAGATGACAGCCTCCGGGGAGTTCTGATTCCATATCAGAGGGAAAGGGTTTCAAAGACGATCACAGATAAGACCTTTGTCCTGAGAAGCTCGCTGTCCAGCAGATGGTAATATATAACAATGACACAAGGCAGTAAATAGAGGTATATTTACCAAAAACTAATGAAGTCTAAAATTGAGCATCTTTGCCTGCAGGGACCCTCACCCTGTCCCAGCAGTGAGTTCACAGGGCCATTTTAAGACTTAAATCCACCTGCACAGACATATCTATCAGCCTATCTAGGGAGGCAAAGGGATTGCAAACCTCAGCTCTGCAGCCAGCTTCAGACGTTCCTACCACATGTAACTGACTTGAGAGGCTGCTCTGACCAGAGAGGTTTCTTCTGAATCCACCCCAACAGAGGCTGTCTATAGAGCCTTCTGAATTTTCCTCTACTTTCTGGGACAGGAAACAAGTCTTGGCTGACGTCAGTATTTCCCAGCAAATGGGTAAAGACCAGTGCAGGGATGGCACTAGGGGTAAATTCTGAAGAGATAACAGAATTTTATTTGGAGGAGTTAGAGGTTGTGACATCAGGGGAGTGGGCGGGTATTCAAGGAAGACACCTTTTGATCAAATGTGGCAGAGGTCAGCTTCCTGTCCTGTAAAAGCAGGGTCAGTAATAAAGCTTGTGGGGTTTAGTTAGCTATATAAAGAAGTAACTCAGTCCCCAAATAGGAAAAGTGCCACAAATGGAAGACTAAATGACAGGATCCCCGGGGAGCAGTGACAGAGATTTTATTTCTTACACAGCAATGGGGGCGGGAACAACCACCTTATTAACAAACAGTAGGTACAAAATAAGAATAAAAAGGGGGGGGGTAAGGGTATGTTTCTGGCAGATGCTTACTGCTCTGTGTAGCTAACTAGCTGGCCAATTGGTCCAGGCCCCCGAGCGGCTGTCAGTCAGGCCAACTGCTGCCAGGCTCTGATTGACAGAAGATGGGTAGCCCAACGTCTCCAAGGTCCGTAGTTTTGCCTGTCAATCCCGGCCCACTTCCGACCTGTCCCCCGTCCACGCGCCCTCCAAACGGGATCCCCACCCAAGTCCAGCCCAGCCAGGCCCGCAGCCGCCTCCAACCCGAACCCAGCCTGGAACTCCGAACCCGGCGGCCAGGAACAAAGAGGTTCTGGCTTCTTTAAGGGAGATACCACCGCGCCAGTGGGGCAGGGGACAGCATCTTCCCAGATGATCGCACCCAGCCCGCGTCTCCACCTGGGCAACTGCGCCGGCCGCAAACATGGCTCAGTGACTCTGACTAAAGGTACAGCCTTCTCCCCGGCTGGGCGCACGCCTCCCGCCGGCCCGCGAGGAAGAAGATGCTCCGGGCGTCCGGTCCCGGCGAACCCCACAAGCCAGCCCGCCGCTCAGTAGGTCGGCAGGGGCCGAAGAACAGGGTAGGCCGCGACCGGGCACACGGCCTCCGGCCCGGGCCTGTGTAAATAGCTTCCCTGGAGCCCCGGGGCGTCCGAGTGCGAGCTAGAGCGCCGGCAGGTTCCCGGGCCGCCACCCCTGCGGGGAAGGACCGCGGTGGTGCGCTCTACTGCGTGCACGCAGCTGGCTACTCCCGGGCTCCGCGCCGCGCCGGGGTGGCCACGCCGAGCGCCATGCGGACCTCGCCCAGCAGGGGGCGCTCGAAGGCGCAAGCGCGCTACGGAAAGCCGGAGGGGGTGGGGCCCGGCGCGAGGGGGTGTGTCCGCGTACCACGGGGGCGCGCGCCCGCCTCTGACTGGAGGCCGCGGCAGCAGAGGCGCGAGCTGCCCGATAATGGCGGCCTGCAGAGCTCATGAGAAGGAGAAGCAGCGGCGGCTGCCCTGAGGTAAACCTGGGCCTTTTGGGTGTCGCACGGACGGCCTGTCGTCAGAGCCGACCTCCCTGCTGGTGTCTATGTCGCCAGCAGGCCTGTCACGGACCTGTCAGCGGAGTCATCTCCCGGCAGGCCCGGCCCGGCTCAGGCCACCGGCCCGGGCTACGGCCTCCGTTCACGCTGGGGCCACTCCTGGGTCTCCAGCCCTGCGCCCGCAGCCGCGGGGAGTGGACGCGGTTGCAGGACTGGCTTCCGGGTGCGGGACGGCAGGAGGCTCCCTCGGGGTTTCCCTCGGACCGCGGAGGGGCTACTGCTAGGACAGCGAGCGCGGCCTGAGCCTACGCGGCGGGCAGCACCCCTGGCTGGACCTGTCCCTTCCGGGCACCGGCAGGTGTTTGTCCTGGCCGGCGGTGTGCAGCACCCGGAGGGACCCAGTACCCGGGGGGACCTAGCACCCGCGAGATGCCACCGGGGTGAGCCAAGGGTGCATTAGCGAGGCGTGCTTCCATGCAGGACCCCAGGGATTCGAAAGACACCTTCGTTCCTTATCCAGGAAGATGCTCCTTCCTGTATGGATTGCCCAAAGTGGGAGAAAAGAGCCACTTGCAAGTGCACAGTAACTGGAGGTCCCCGCAGAGCGGGACGCAATGCCCGCCTCTGATTCAGTGGCAGGAAATCTGACATTAGGAAATACAGTAGGAATTGGAGGGGCAGGTGACCAATTAGAGGAAATGGGGTTAAAGCTATGCTCAGAAACAGTCGTTTCCTTTATTTAATCTGCTCTATGAACTTAAAGTAGCTGTTCCCGCAGTCTCAGATTCTAGGATCAATCGCCTTTTGTTTCTCTAATTGTGCAATGTTAATATTGTACAATCTCAGGTTACTTTTCCTGCCCCCGGTGACAATCTGCAAGTGAGAATTTCTGAGGAGGAAGCACAATGCAGACTCTCCGTTCCATACATGAGCATTTCTGTGTAGGGCCTTTGCTCCACCTCCTGCCTGCCTTTAAATGGTTTATCAAGTTAGAATTCCAAAGAACTTTGTCAGAGAATTCCCTTTGATGTATTAGATGACCTAGAATTAAATAGCTATGTTATGCAACCATAAAAATGTATTTATATTCTAAGTAGCTTACTTTATTTTAAGGGAACAGTTCTCCCCCACAAACTGTATTTGTATTTATTTTGCAAGAATAGGTAACCAGGCAAACTGATGCATGCCTGTAATCCCAGTACTTAGAAGGCTGAGGTAGGAGGATCAGGAGTACAAGGTTATCCCTTGCTACATAATGAATTGAAAGCCAGCCCTGGCTTCATAAGACCTTGTCTCAAAAACAAAACAAAACAAACGTGGTCTTCACTTCCAGTTTATGTTTAAGGTTTATATTTATAAACCAGGTGTTTGAATTTCTAACGATGAGAGATTTTGGGGTTTTTGCTTGTTTTGTGACCTTTTATATATGTCTCATTGTTAAGGAGTAGAAGTATTGCTTTTTTTTTCCATGATCGTTAACTTAAAATGCTGAATTGGGGTTTTTTGGGGGGTCTTTTTGAGATAGGGTCTCTAGCCCCAGCTGGCCTGCAACTCCCTATGTAGGTCAGGCTGGTCTCGATTTCACAAAGCTCTGCTTGCCTCAGCCTTGCAAGTGCTAGAATTAAAGGAGTATGCTGCCATGCCTGGCTGGGATTTATTTTTTTTAAACAGTGCCATTTTCAAGCAGTGCATTTAAGAAGCAGTATATTTTAGTGATGCAAATCATGTATGTCTAAGCCAGAAGGCTGTTGGACTATTCTCTCTCTCTCTCTCTCTCTCTCTCTCTCTCTCTCTCTCTTTTAATGTCCTCATTTCTAAAGTAATCACAATAGCACCTACCTCATTAATACATAGATTAGGGTATGAATTAAGTGAATTTAATGTAAAGCCAAGTATGGTGATACATGCCTCTAATTCCAACATTCCAGAGAAAGAGGCTGGAAGATAGTGAGTTCAAGACCAAGGTTGGCAAGATGGCTTAGTGGGTAAAGGTGTTTGCCAGCAAGCCTGACAAACTGAGTTCCAACCCTGGGACTCACATGGTGAAAGGAGAGAACAGACTTCCACAGGTTGTCCTCTGACCTCCATGTGAGGTATACACACAGAAGCGAAATAGATAAATGTAATTTTTTTAAAAAGTCAAGGCCAATCTGAACTACATAGTAGCCCAGACTCTGTCTTTGAAAACAGGGCTGGAAGCCAGGTATGATGGCATGCCTGATAATCTCAGCACTCAGGAGATAGATGTAGGCAGATGTTGATGGGTTTCAGGCCTACCTGGTCTACATAGTTCCCAGCTAGCCAGGACTACATAGTGAGACCCTGTCTTAAAAACGGGGGTGGTGGTTGGTCTAGGGATATGGTGTGGGGAAAGATTTGCCAAATAAGTGTGAGGAACTGAGTTTGGGCCCCCAGAACTCTTGTAAAGCCAGTGTGTACCCCCAGTTGTGTGTTCTCAGTTGTGTCCCCCCAGTTGTGTGTTCTCAGTTGTCCCCCCAGTTGTGCACTCCCAGCGCTCCTACAGTGAGATGGGAGGCAGAGACAGAAGATCCCCTGGAAGCTCATGGACTGACTAGTCTAGCATATGCTGTAGTAAATGAGAAAAGGGCCAAGGTTATCCTTTGACTACAGTGTACCATGGCATGTGCATGCACACACACACACAGACTTAAAAAACAAACAGGGATGATAGCACTGTAATCCTGGTATTGGAAGCCAGCCTCGTCTATACACTAAGGTCCAGGCTAGCCAGGGATAATTAGCAAGACCCTATCTCCAAAACAACAGCAAAACGTTTAAGAACTATTATAAAGTACTTGAACTAGTTCCTGATATATGGTAAGTGCTACCTGTTACTTTTATTATTACTGGTAGATTTGCCCAGGACAGCAAGTGTCCTTCAAGTACTACAAGCAGTGAGTAGCTCAGTCATACCTAAGAAGTACAAGCCAGAAGATATACCTAATTTCAACAGAGTACTTTGTTGATTTTTCCAGAAACCTCGATCTTGAAGATGGTGAGTAGCCAACCAAAGTACGATCTAATACGGGAGGTAGGCCGAGGTAGTTACGGTGTTGTGTATGAAGCAGTCATCAGAAAGACCTCTGCAAGAGTAGCGGTGAAGAAAATCCGATGCCACGCACCTGAAAATGTTGAACTAGCCCTTCGTGAATTCTGGGCACTAAGCAGTATCAAGAGCCAACATCCAAATGTGATTCACTTGGAGGAATGCATCCTACAAAAAGATGGGATGGTGCAAAAGATGTCCCACGGCTCTAATTCTTCCCTTTATTTACAGGTATGTGTCATTGGATAGGAAATAGAAATAATTGGGCATAGTATTGGTCAGTAAGGAGAGAAATGAAGGTATCAGGTGGACTTCTCCCTTCAAATGCAGATGTTTTACAGTTAGGGGTAGATAAAGATCTGCCAAGGACAGAGTAGATGTTTGCTTTAAAAAAAGGCTTTATTTAAGCTTGTGATGCGCATACCTAAAAATAACATAAGCCACCTGTTATGCCTGGTACTTGCCAGTCTGCGCAGGAATAGGACAAGATGGGAGCTAGAGAGGTTTTGAGACTAGAGTCTAGGTTCAGTTCTTTTAAACCTACTCTTTTCAAAATGAACACAGAAGAAAAGGAAAAACACTGCAATCAGTAATAGCGGTACCTATAAGTAATTGGACATCTCTTATAAATCACAAGTTTAAACATAAAGTCTGGTGGTGCATGCCTGTAACCCTAGCACATGGAAGATGGGGGCAGGAAGATCAGTTTGAGACCAGCCTCACTGATATATTGAGTTTGAGACCATCCTGAATTGTATCCTGAGTTCCAGGACAAAAGTTGTCCTCTGACCTCTACATGCAAAGCTGTGACGCATGCAGACACACACACACACACATACACATATACACACAAATAAGTAAATAAATGTAATATAAAAATAAAGGGGGAACTGGAGAGACAGATCACTGGTTAAGAGCATTGGCTGCTCTTGCAGAGGACCCATATTTGGTTTCCAGCACCCACATGGTGGCTAACAACCATCTGTAACTCCAGTTCCTAGGGATCCAGTGTCCTCTTCTGGCCTTCTTAGGCACCAAGCACCATGCAGTACACATGCATACATGCAGGCACACACGCATACAATAAAATAAATCTAAAATAATAAAAACAACAAAAAAACTATATTCAGGTGGTCAAGATGGCTTGTCACCAAGCCTGATGAGTTCAATCCCTAGATCTCATGTGGTAGAGAGAACAGACTCCTGAAAATTATCTTCTTAATTCCACCATGTACACACACACACACACACCCCACAAAAATTTAAATTTTTAAAAAATGGTGGCTGGAGAGATGGCTCAGCGGTTAAGAACACTGGTTGTTCTTGCAGAAGACCCGGGTTTAAATCCCAGCACCCACATGGCAGCTAACAACTGTCCGTAACTCCAGTCTGACAGCCTCTTCTGACCGTGGGCATTGCACGACACAAGCACACTTCCTTACATGCAGGCAATATACAAATACACATAAAATAAAAATAAATAATTTTTTTAAAAAATTACATCCATTTTATTGTTTACTTTTCCTAAAAGTACTTATATAAGATGCAGTTATAAAACATTTTGGAGGGGCTGGAGAGATGGCTCAGTGGTTAAGAACACTGTTTTGCAGAAGACCGAGGTTTGAATCCCAGCACCCACATGGCACCTAACAACTGTCCGTAACTCCAGTCTGACAGCCTCTTTTGACCTCCGTGGGCATTGCACGACACAAGCACACTTCCTTACATGTAGGCAATACACAAATACACATAAAATAAAAAAAATAAAATTTTTAAGAAATTACATTCATTTTATTGTTTACCTTTCTAAAAGTACTTATACAGGATGCAGTTATAAAACATTTTGGAGGGGCTGGAGAGATAGCTCAGCGGTTAAGAACACTGGTTGTTCTTGTAGAAGATCCGGGTTCAAATCCCAACACTCACATGGCAGCTAACAACTGTCCATAACTCCAGTTCCAGGGGATCTGACACCCTCTTCTGTCTTCCACAGGCATTATACAACATGGGTGCACGTACCTACATGCAGGCAATACACACATACACAAAAAATAAAAATAAAATATTTTAAAAAAGCATTTTGGAAACATTCCTACTTTATGGGTTTTTGTTTGTGCTTTGGGGGGGTGGTTGGTGGTGCTAGATAGAGATTGAACCTAGGGCTTTGGGCATACTAAACTAGTACTTCCCCTCCTAAAAGTGAATAGAACCTTGTCAACTTTGCATTAAGTTTTAGAGAATGAGACACACATTTGGATGGAAAAGTAAAGACATTAAAGTATCTGACTTAGTGCTGAGTCCAGCCTAGCAACCATTCTACAAACTAGGTATGAGGTTGGTACTTAATGATTTTAAGACATGAAGTACTACCAAATTTAATTCAATTATTTTCACATTTAAATTACCTTGTTAGTAAATTTCTTTCACCTTTTAAAGCCTGATAGACCTACCTGTATTTGACTTACAGCATTTTTGCTATTAGAAATAAATAATCTAGCCCAGCATGGTGGTAAATGCCTTTAATCCCAGCACTTGGGAGGCAGAGACAGGTGGATCTCTGTGAATTTGAGGCCAGCCTGGTCTATATAGTGAGTTCCAGGACAGCTGGGGCTACAGGGAGACCCTATCTCAAAAACACCAAAACAAGCTATTTTAGATGAGGCTGGAAGGGTCGGCAGGAGCCTGAGCACAGTCTCACAGCCCACGTTAAAGTTGGAACCATGGGGCTGGAGAGATGGCTCAGCGGTTAAGAGCACTAGGTGCTCTTTCAGAGGACCTAGATTTGGTTCCCAGCACCTACATGGCAGCTAACAACTATGCTAACTCCAATTCCTCCAGATCTGACACCCTCTTCTGGTCTTTACAGGCATTACCCAACATGGGTACACTTACATACATGCAGGCAAGCACTCATACATATAAAATAAAAATTAAGTTTAAGAAAAAAGCTGGAGGGGGTTGGAGAGATGGCTCAGTGGTCGAGAGCACTGGTTGTTCTTGCAGAGGACCCCAGGTTTGAATCCCAGCACCCAAATGACAGCTAACAACTGTCCATAACTCCAGTTCCAAGGGATCAGATGGCCTCTTCTGTCCTCCGAGGGCATTGCATGACACGGGTGCACTTACCTACATGCAGGCAATACACTCATACACAAATAAAAATTAAAAAAAAAAAAAAGCTGGAGCCATTAAAGGGAAGCCATTGAGCCCCTTTAGCTACTAGCCTGGACACCGTGGGAAGGCGCAGGTTGGGCACACTGTTTCAGTAACTTTCAGCTAGAAGCCCATGATTGTTTCCATGTGGCCTAATACTAAACATAGTTTTACATTTTTTTTTTTTAAGATTAGTGAAAAGGGAACCGGTCCGTGGTTGCATATGCCTCCATTCCCAGCACTCAGGAGGCACCCAGTTGATGAAATTCGTACCTTCCTGTTCTTTCCTTGTCTCTGCCTCACCGGCGCACGCTTGCAGCAAGGAAAATGCATGAAAGGAGACACCTAGATGTCATCGGCTGTCTGCCATGGGAGGAGGGCGGAGGGGTTCTTTGCTTCTGCTGCCAAAATAAAAGGCACTAGTAGTGCTAGAAGGTTAGATGTAATGCTTTTGGCTACATATTCTTTTACCTGTGGTTGTGTCCATCCCATTGATCTAAACAAGACAGATAAAACAAATGTTTTTAAAGCACTGTCCATGTGCATGTTAGCCTTTTCATGAAATGATGAGCTAGGTGGTGGTAGAGTTCAACTGTACTGACACATGTAGAAAATGTAGGCCAGTTGGGTACTTTCCAAAATACAGCTATTTAAGTCTTGGCTTAGAGATTTAGCATGTATTCATTAGGGACAAAGTGACATTTTGAAGTACTGAAGTTTAAAATGAATATCTAAAAGCACTGGTCAAATAAAATATTCATGGGGTTTCCACTTAAAAATTGGAGACTTGGGCTATAGTGTACCTCAGCATAGAGCTGACCGTCTCAAACTTTTCCATTTATGATATCTTCCTACCTAAGAAATTTTTATATAACCCTGGGTATATAAGTATGTAAGATAGATATACAAGTCAAACACATGGCTGGGCTTGGTAGCACATGCTTTTAATCCCAGCATCCTCAAGGCAGAGGTAGGCAGAGCTCTGTAAAATCAAGGCCAACCTGGTCTACATAGTGAGTTCCAGGCCAGCTGGGGCTACAGGGAAACCTTGTCTCAAAAAGACAAAAAAAAAACTCAAATGTACTGATAATAAATTGCAAATGATCTCATTTTAAAGCAATTCTTTGGTTTACTTTTAATCTTATTTATTAAAGATGAAAGCAGATTTGTACACTAATGAAGTATATGTACTTGTTTATTTCTACATAAAGAATTAAATCTTGAACTGGCGAGATGGCTCAACAAGGAGAGGTATTTGTATGCAGGCCTGAGAACCTGAGTTCAATCCCAGATCCCACAAGGTTGCAGAAAGAATCAACTTAGGAGAGGTGTCCTCTGACCTCCCCACCCATGCAGTGGCACAGGCTCACACACACATAGAAAATTTAATTTAAATTCTTTTTAAAGAATTCAATCTTGGCTGAATCTTTTTGAACCAGAGTCTCACTATATAGCTCAGGCTGGCCTTGAACTAGCTCTGTAGCTCAGGCTAGCCTCAAACATAAGATCCGCCTGAGGTGGGTGTGGTGACACAAGTATAATCCCAGTACTGGGAGGTGGAGGCAAGAGGATCAAGTGCTCTGAGGGAGCCTTCCCTGCACAATGAGTTTGAGGCCAGCCTACCCTATATGAAACCCTGTCTCAAAAAAGAAAAGAAAATAGTGCCAAAATTAAGCATTCTGCTACAGTTCAGTCGACGGATACACCAATTTGGTATTTGTATGCCAATGAATGACTGTAGGAAAATATCCAGTCTTTGTTTTCCATAATTAAACTATTGCATTTCTATACGGGCAGAAAACCTTGACTGTGTAGTAAAAACACTGCAATTTGGTTTTCAATAATTTTTGGAAGTTGTACATTCATAAACCTTTTATTGTTGCCAAGTTCTTTGTGACCCGTACATTTAGTTTAGGAAGCTGTGATGTGGAGCACCTGCCTAGCATGTGCAAGGCCCTAGGTTCAGTCCCCAACTACAGAAATGAAACAAAGCTGCAGGCAGCCTAACCTTTGAATCTATTATTTCTGTAGCAGAATTGTATAACCTTGTTTTCCTTTACAGCTTGTAGAGACTTCATTAAAAGGAGAAATTGCCTTTGATCCCAGAAGCGCCTATTATTTGTGGTTTGTGATGGATTTTTGTGACGGAGGAGATATGAATGAGTATCTTTTGTCCAGGAAGCCCAATCGAAAGACAAACACCAGCTTCATGCTTCAGCTCAGCAGTGCCCTGGCTTTCTTGCATAAAAACCAGATCATCCACCGGGACCTGAAGCCTGACAATATCCTGATCTCTCAGAGCAGGTTGGATACCAGTGACTTGGAACCCACACTGAAAGTGGCCGATTTTGGCTTAAGTAAAGTTTGTTCAGCATCCGGGCAGAACCCAGAAGAACCTGTCAGTGTGAACAAGTGTTTCCTTTCCACAGCATGTGGCACAGATTTCTACATGGCTCCTGAAGTCTGGGAAGGACACTACACGGCGAAAGCTGACATCTTTGCTCTGGGGATTATCATCTGGGCAATGCTGGAGAGGATCACATTCATAGACACAGAGACAAAGAAGGAACTCTTAGGGAGCTACGTAAAACAAGGAACCGAGATTGTGCCTGTTGGGGAGGCACTTCTGGAAAACCCCAAAATGGAACTTCTCATCCCTGTGAAGAAAAAGTCTATGAACGGGCGCATGAAACAGCTGATTAAGGAGATGCTGGCCGCAAACCCTCAGGATCGTCCTGATGCATTCGAACTCGAACTCAGATTAGTACAAATTGCATTTAAAGACAGCAGCTGGGAAACGTGACATAGTGTTTGCAAGCAAGCATCTGGATGGTATGCTGCTTCTGATTCAACAGCAATGCAACAACATTACATGGCCGAAAAAGAGTACAAAAGGCTAGACTCCACCTTCTAAAGGGATACATTTTATTGTGGGGTAGTTTTTTTCCTCATTTTTCTTAATCCAAGCAGGCCATTTTTGTTAGTATGTTTTGAATGTCTATTTCCAATGTGGGTATGATTTCTTTTTTAATGATCATTGGTAGAAATTTGGCAGAAAAAGTCTCTTAAGAACCGAGAAGAGTCCAATTTTCTGGAAATCTGTCTTTAAGTATTTTAGACATTCCTTGTCAGTATTAGGCATTTCCATGGAAGAAGAGGTTTGCGTGCTGGTAATGCAACCTTTGAAGCTTTGTAAAGGAAACATATATGTATATATTTATGTATATGTAAGTATGTGAATGTGTGCATTTTGCATTCCATATGAAGAAAATGCCACTTCTGTTTAAATTATTTGATACAGGTTTGAGATTTGCTGGTGAAATCAGTGATGAAAAATAAACAAGCCTTCCCTCCCCTGTGCCCTGCCGGTGAAAACGTACTAGAGGGGATTTTGGTTTTCTGTTTTGTTTCTTCTGTTTTCATTTTTTTTTTTTTAAACTATACATCTTTTTTTGAAGACATTTTGGAGGGTCTAAAATGGCTGATTAAACATAATTGACGCTACACAGTTTAAGGCTGCTGGAGTACGTGTGAGCTCCCCAGGGCCCTGTAGTCAGTCATGCCGTCATACGGTAGCAGGCTGGCAAGGATGCCGGCCGTAACTAAGCACTCTTTTAGCTAATCAAAGTGCTGCACTGGGACACATGTACTTGAGCCGCTACAGTCTGATACAGATCTGAGGATGGTATTCTGTTTCTGAAAACATTGCTATAAGTGAACTGATACTTGATGTATTAATTTTTGATTTTAAGACTTTTTCTGAGTCTCAGCATAAAGTTGAAGAAACCAAATGAGCTCCACCCTCACATTGCCTGCCTTGTGGCTTCTTGTTGGATCACTGGAATCCCTCTCATTCTGCACTGACTCTGTTCTCTCTGGTGTCCTTTGACATGATAATGGGAGTGGAAATCACTGTCTCAAATATTGGTTGTTTTTTTCCAAAGAGATGATACATACAGAGTTTGGCAAATACTGCCATTAACTGCTTTTCAAGTAGAAAAGTTGTCAGTTTTATGCAGCTGCTTGGTATGGTCTGTGTTAGAAAGCAAGAGACTGTGGCTCCTCTTAAGTTCCATTTTAGCTGTCTCCAGATTCCTAATGCAGGAGACTAAGGAAGAAATGCTTTCCTAAACTGTAGTCTTCAAGACAAAATAGATCTTACCACTGTATCTAGATAAAACTTTAGAAAGCACCAGAATCCCACCTCCCATGGTGGAGAATGAACTTAGAACCTTGGGCATGTACCCCTCAAGCCTACTGGAATCTTTATAGAGCACTAAAATCCAAGTCAGAATAGGCGGAGCATGGTGGCACATGCCTTTAATCCCAGCACTCAGAAGGCAGAGGCAAGCAGATCTCTGAGTTCAAGGCCAGCCTGGTCTACATAGTTCCAGGCCAGCTGGGGCTACAGGGAGACGCTGTCTCAAAAAAACAAAAAACAAAGTCAAAATTGTATTAGCATATTGAAATTAATAATGGTTTCATAGTCTCTTCAGCTCTTCAAACTTCCGCAAGTCTTACAGCCATCCTGCCATCATTTCCCCCATGTAAAGTGTGCTCCAAGGCCTGGGATGTAGTTCACTGGAGAGGACTTGTCTAGCATGCATGAGATGATACCCTGGATTCAAAGCCTAGCAACACTAAATCAATAAATTGTGTTCAGAGGGCAGTCAATGATTAAAAACAACACAAAAAAATTGGAGAATGTAAAATTTCTAGATTCTGTTATTTAATCTAGAAGCATAAGTTTTGAACTGAAAGGTGTTATTGAAATAAAACCTTGTCAAATGAAAAAAATCATATCTATTTAATATGACTTTCAAATTTAAATAAAATTCTTTTGGAGGCAGGCATGGTGACACACGCCTTTAATCCCAGCACTCTGGAGGCAGAGACAGGCAGATCACTATAAGTTCAAGGCCAGCCTGGTCTATATAGTAAATTCCAGGCCAGCTAGGGCTACAGGGAGACCCTGTCTCAAAAAGACCAAAAAATAATTCTTTTGGAATGAGAAGTGGAGATATACTGGAACTTCATGGTAATTGATCGTGGGTTACCAAATTAACACAGATCTGACCAAGAGGATTGAGTTACTGGAAATCCGAAATAGTGTCATTTTATTGTCCTGTTAATAATTTGGGCCAGGCGTGGTGGTGCACGCCTTTAATCCCAGCACTCGGGAGGCAGAGGCAGGTGGATCTCTGTGAGTTCAAGGCCAGCCTGGTCTACATAGTGAGTTCCAGGACAGCTGAGGCTACAGGGAGACCCTGTCTCAAAAAGACCAAAAAATAAAAATAAAAATAAAAAAATAATAATAATTTGGCCCTTTATCAGACTGATTGGTAGGTGACAGTATCTCAGCTCTACATTTGCTCTGCAAGTGCCTCTGAGCTTAGAGCTCTGGTTTCCTACTACAGAGTGTGGTTCTGCCTCACTTAAAATAACGAATATAATTTAGTTCGTCTCTTTTGTTTTGTCTGTTGCTAGGGATCACACCAAGGGCCTTCTACATGCTGCACAGATGCTTTACCACTGAGCTCCATCCCTGTCCCAAGTATAATTTATTGTGAAAGGTTTTTACCTGTGAAATAGAATCCTTTCTTTCATTAGGAGTAAGGGTGTGAGGTGATCAGAAAGTTTCTTCTGGAATTTTCTTTGTGTTCTAAAGTAGCTTATGATATCAAGCAACAGGCTAGTAATTTCTTGTCTTTGTTCTTTCAGTTGGGTATTTATTAAGTACCTACTGTGTGCTCAGCACTAAAGTTTAGTTGATAACAATTTAAGAATGATATTTAGGGGGCTTGAGAGATGGTTCAGCAGTTAGGAGCACTTGCTACCCTTGCAGAAAGTTCAGTTCCCAGCACCCAGCTCACAACCACCTATAACTCCAGCTCCAAGGGATCCGACGCCCTCTTCTGGCCTCTGCAGGCACAGCACACACACATAGCACACATACACAGACATACACATAATTTAAAAAAAAAATTTAATGGCATTTTAGCCATGCACCTTCTCCAATCATGAGTAAGAAATAAAAGATGATGTATGATACTGGGAAATTTCAGATATTTGCTAGAGGAAAAACAAAATCAATTTGTGCACAGTGCCTTGTCCATAATAGGTACTCAATAAACTACTATTCCTCATAGAGTCTGTTGCCATGGTTTCTAGTGTTCTATGAAATTTGTCTTAATTGAAAAAGACCAAATATTTCCAATAGCTTATAGGCAGCTGTGTCCAGTCAACTCTAGGGTTGTACAGTTAGTTCCTAGGACGTTATTTTGCACTAGTTGGTAGAAAGATAGGGTTCCCGTAGATTTTTGGTGCTAAGGGTTACTTTGTCAAGATGATGAGGTAAGTGTTCAGTGTCATAAATAGCACACAGAATAGTTCTCTCTGCAGTTCTGTTGGTTTTTTTAATTTGTTTTTAATTGTAAAATGTTATCAAACTATTGTAGCAGCTATAAAATAATTCACCAGCATGACAAAATAGTCAAAACAGCGCCATCGGCACTTCAGAGATGAAAGCAGCTTCTGAAATTTTCTTTTAAAATTTGTCAAATATATTTTATGAAGAATTTATGGAAAGGGGAAATAATTGTAATTTATTGTTCATGAGGTTTTTTTTTTTTTTAAATAAAGTGAATTTCAACAAAGCCAACTCTGAAACTTCTTTATTGCTACTTTAGCGATTCTGTGAGTCATGTTGTAGTACCCTATTTCATGAGTGTACAACGGAGGGTCTAAAACTGGAGACAGTGTATTTTTTAATCTATCTGTGAAATTATTCTCTGAGGTAGAGGCTATTTCTGAGGAAGATGATTGAATTATAAGTGTCAGTGTTTCAAGTTCTCTAAGACTTTAATGTTTGCTATCTTTTTAAATTTGCTTTATATAGAAGAAAAATAGGTACTGTTTGATAATTTCTTTCATTTGTCCTATTTGGCTGAGTATCATTCCAGATTCAATGATTTGTATTAAATATACTAAGAGGATACAATATTTCAATCCATAATAGGAAGCCATGATTTTTTTATTTTTATTTATTTATTTATTTATTTATTTATTTTTTGGTCTTTCTGAGACAGGGTCTCCCTGTAGCCCTGCTGGCCTGGAACTCACTATGTAGACCAGGCTGGCCTTGAACTCTCAGAGATCTGCCTGCCTCTGCTTCTCTGAGTGCTGGGATTAAAAGCAAGCCCCACCATGCCCAGCTATGATTTGTTTTCTATAAATAAGTCATCCATTTTCCCAGGCATCGTGGCACACAACTTAAATCCCAACACTTGGAGGCAGAGGCTCTGTGAGTTTGAAGCCAGTCTGGTCTACATAGTGAGTTCCAGTCCAGCCAAGGCCACAGACCCAGTCTCAGAAAAAAAAAAAAAAAGAAGAGTTATAGGTAGCCCACATTTTTCATTTCCTTTGCAGAATCTGTTATGCAAGCCTGAGCATATAGTCTCCTTAGTGGGCTGGTGGGAGACAGGAAGCAGGAACAACAAGCAGGCTTGGGAGGTGCAGCTCCTGGACTGCCTCCTGCTCCACACTAGCTTTTGTAAACAGACCAATTTTGCTTTCTACTTAGAAATTATATTTTTAAAATTCAATTTTAAATTATAAATGTTTGTAGTTATTAGCATTTTTGTAACCCTTTGTAGTTTACAAAGTACCTTCAAGTGGTTTTTACATCTTTTCCAATCTTTTACTGAAAATGGGAGCTAAGTTCTTAGTGCAGAGTGAATGATCGAGCAGTTCATCATGATCGTGAGGTGTCCCTCCCTCTCCCCTGCCCCAGACAGGGTCAGCACCTAATCTCTGACTCCAGTTGGGGTTTTTCTCCTACAATAAAGCTTTATCTTTCTGGAGGAACCCTGTCTTGTTTTGGTTTTCCTTTAAATTCAAATATTGCTGTCTTAATCAGCCAATCACAGGCATTCTCCAATGGCTGTGTGAAGACAGTTTGTGGTTAGATAGTAACTCCTACTTGAGGAAATCCAAGGAAGCCACACCTCTAGGAGGCCAAGTGCGTCTTTTAAAGGCTGTACTTTCACCTTGGCAGAGAGCGCCCATTGGTTAGAAGTTAGTTGTTTTAAAAAAGAAAAGTAACATCCTGGGCTTAGCTCTTTCATTTCCTTTGTAGCAGCCTGGTATTTCAGGCTTGACTTGTTTTGAGAAGTTAGGCAATTTGATGTTACTGAAGCTGTCATGGTCCCCAAAAGATCTGACCCGGAAAACTAGCTTTTACAGAGTCACATACTTAATAAGTGCCCGTTGAGTGAGTCCTTCCATTATGAGCCTCCGCTCCCACAGCCATAAATGGGAATGTTGATATTTACATCTTGGAGTTTATAAGGGCCACAAAGTGCCCGGCAGGCACAGCACCAGGTATTGTCCTCAGCAGTCACTGCCCCCGGATCCTAAGGTTCTGTGAGACGATGAAGTAATAAAAAGGAATGAACGAACAAATTCACCATGCTGATCTTCGGGTGTAGCTTCAATTGTCACCCACTTTGGGAGAATCTGATGAAGGCACTGCCTCCTTTCCTTGGGAAAAAATTTGCCTTGAATAACGGGGGTTATGGATTATGGATGTTGGGAGTCCACAGAGATCCCGAGCTAAGGGAGTTAAACTTTAGGTACCCAGACACCCTCTGAGCTAACACTTCTTATGAAAAGTGGCTGCAGGCCAGGAGGTGCTAATGAACCTTTGCTGTTGTGTTTCTGGATCTATGTGCTGGCTGGCCAGGCATGACACTGCAAATTCATCAAGCTGCACTTGACTTTTTTTTCCTGGGCATTACTCCCAGGTCCTCACACATGCAAGGCAAGGTCTCTGCTGCTGAGCTACATCCAAACCCCAACACTTAATTTTTTTAGACTTTACATATATTATACTTCATTAAAAAAAATTTTTTTTGAGCAGGGGGGGTTTCCTGTATCTCAGGCTGGCCCCAAGCTATCTACCTGGGGATAGCTTTGAGCTCCTGATCCTCCCTCCTCCACTGAGCAAGTGCATGGATTTCATCCAGTTTATACAGTGCTGAGGATCAATCTGCATGCTGGTCAACTACTCTCCCAACATCCCCAGCTCATACTTCAGTAAAAACTTTAATCAAAAAATAAATGGGGGCACTGGAGAGATGGCTCAGGGGTAAAAGCACTTGTTCTTCCAGAAGACCCGGGTTCAACTCCAACACTCACATGACAGCTCTGTTGTCCTCTTCCAGCCTTTGGGACACTACACACATACCGGTAAACACACCAGCCATCAAAACACTTGCACAAGTTAAAAAAAAATTCATTAACAAAAATCGAAAAAAATAAAAATAAATGTAGAGCTGGAAGTATGGAGAGTATTTGCTTAGCATGCCTAAGCCATGGGTTCCATTCCCAACGTCACACACAAAGCAAAAACAAAAAATATAAATGTGCACAGAGGCTGGAGACTAGCAATAGTAACAGTTGTTGACAGAAGAGGGCAAATCACAATCAATTACCCTTCTGCTCCTGTGTGACTTTCATGAGCATCCTAACATCTTTAACTCAGCTTCCTGAGAGTATTTAATTGTGTGTGTGTGTGTGTGTGTGTGTGTGTGTGTGTGTGTGGTTTTTTAAATTTTATTTATTATTTTTATTTTATGTGTATGCATGTATTGTCTGCATGTAGGTAAGTGCACCCCTGTGGTGCAATGCCCATGGAGGACAAAAGAGGCTTGGGTGCTGGGATTTGGACCAGGGTCTTCTGCAAGAACAGTTAGTGTTCTTAACTGCTGAGCCATCTCTCCAGCCCCTATTTGTTTACTTATTATTTTAAACTTTATTTGTATTTTGAGTGTTTTGCCTGCATGTATGTAAATGTACCCATGCGTGCAGTGCCCACAGAGGCCAGAAGAGGACACAGGATCTCCTGAAACTGGAGTTATGGATGGTTGTTAGCTGCCACATAGGCGCTAGGATTCAAACCTGGGACCTCTATAAGAGCAGCCAGGGCTCTTAACTTCTGAGTCATCTCTCCAGAACTACTTATTTATTATTAATGAGACAGAGTCTCATTCTGTAGCCCAGGCTGGCCTCAACTTCCTGAGTGATGGGATTACAGATAGACTGCATGAAGATGCTATTCGAGGAGCTGTGTGGCCTAGGCAACAAATGTCGCTGTTCCCCAGGGCCCTGGGGACTTCCCAGAAGGGACTTTAGAACTACCTTTACTGCCAGTTTGCTCTGCTGATAGTTAGCAGTTTGTTGGTTTGTTTTTTTATTTGTTTTGGCGTCTATTTTTGCCTCAACCATGAGGGAAGTATCTCTACCCCAGTATAGTAATGCCTGGCCATTTCTCACCTTTCAGCCCTCCACAAGTCTCAAATCCACAGGCCAAACAGCATGTAGCATTGACTCCACATTGAAAAAGCCTGCTAACCTTGGAAAACAGAGGCTTGTTCATGAGTAATGTCACAGAATGCCACTGGAACTGCATTTAGGTAAAAGGGAGAATCGATCGACTTGATTGTGGAGGTGGCAATATGTTGGGGGGAGGGAAGACCGGAACTCATACCTAGAAGTAAATCAGTGATTTCCAACTCTACCTGGAATTCAAGTTTTAACCTGGGGAGGAAGAGAAAAACAACCAGGTGACTTCTGCCTCTGACCTTCTACATTCCCCCTCCCGCCTTAAATTCTAAATCTAGAATTTGGACTACCAGAAGTACAAGCTGGACAAGGTGGCTGTCGCCTATAATCCCTGGAGGTTTAAGGCAGGAGGAGGTGCAGTGAGTTGGGAGATGAGTTGGAGACTGACAAAGCTATAGAGTGAGACCCGCTCTCAAAAAAAAAAAAAAAAAAAAAAAGTACTGGGGAGATGGCTCACTGGGTGTAAGTACTTGCTCTGCAAGTGTGAGAACTCCTTTGAATCCCCAGATCCCATATTAAACCAACACATGGCGTTGCTACAGGGAAGTGGGGAGCTAAGAGGGAGAATCCCCAGCAGCTGTCCCGCCAGCTAGTCCCGCGCGCGCGCGCGCGCGCACA